CATCACTTCCTTCTTCATCTGGCCCAGTCTGGATTACTTGATTAAAAGTCATTGCCTACATTGACAAGAATATAATTAAGCTTTGTCCTTAAAGCGGTATAAACATATTTTTGTCTAAAACACAGTTTTTAAAATGTTCTCACTGAGACAGCACAACTGATTGGCATTTCCAAATCAATTAATATTATATAGTAAATGGTACTGCTCTACCCCTTACTGGGTCACTTTAAACAGACTACTTGACCTCTTTTTCCTGACATTTTCATAGAGATACTGTGAGGATTAAATAAGGCAAGGCATAAAAAATGCTTAATATTATGAACATTAGTATTACTGGCTGACATTTGGGGCTTCCCACGTGGTGCTACTGGTAAAGAACCTGCCTGCCTGCCAATGTAGGAGAACTAAGAGCTGAGGGTTTGATTCCTGGTTGGCAAGATCCCCTGGAGAAGGAAATGGCAATCCACTCCAGTATTTCTGCCTGGAGAATTCCATGGACAGAGGAGCCTGGTGGGCTACAGTCTATGGAGTCACAAAGAGTCACACACAACTAAACTGACTTAGCACAGCTCAACATTTGACAATGCTCAAATACTAATCATCAAATACTAATCACCAAGGTTTCTGTTGCCACAGAATTCAATCATTTTGAAGATAATGATAATGACGATAAGATAATAATAATAACTTTGAGGAAAGTTATTAATTATGAGGAGCCACAGCTAATAATCAGCTTATTATAAATGCATTGTATTATTTTAATATACACTAATGCATTTATTCAGACTTCCCAAGAGGCTCAGTGGTAAAGAATCTACCTGCCAATCAATACAAGAGATGCGGGTTCGAGCCCTGGGCCGAGAAAAACCCCTGGAGAGGGAAATAGCAACCCACTCCAGTATTCTTGCCTAGGAAATCCCATGGATGGAGGAGCCTGGTGGGCTACAGTCCATGGATCACAAGAGTCAGACACAACTTGGCGACTAAGCAACAACTATATTTACTCAAATGTCTTTACCCAATTCAGTATCAGCTGTTAAGAACGTTCACAGCAAATAACAAGACTCAGATTCTTCAAATCTTAATATTTAGCAAGACTATAAACTACACCAAATATATCACTGTATAGGGAATATGAATGGATAGCTGCTGGGTACATGTCCATATTTTCTATTACCGTTAAATAATTTACATTGTTAATTCTCAGAAAGTTCAGGGCTATGTACTGTACACAAAGTTCAAATATAAAATAACTATTTTAAAAAATTTAACTTTAAAAACCTGCTTATAACTAGTATTTCAAGTTGGTGCAAAGCATTCTAGGAAACCACACAAACAAGTTAGTCATGATGCAGTGTAAGTACATGTCAAAACCTCTGCGCTGGAGAGGCACACAGCACAGGTGTGAATCCCAGCCCCACCCCTTCTAACTTGGGCAAGTTAAATAACCTTTTTATAACCCACATTTTCTTTCGATATAGGAATATTCCTCACACAGGACTGTATGAGAATTAAATGAGTTAAAATATGTATCAAGGACTTAGAATGGTGCCTGATATACAGTAAGCTCTGTGAAAATACCTGCTGTAATCTAAGTAATGCATACATTACTGATCAAATAACATACCAAATGCTGTGTCATTTCTACTGCAATAGGAGTAACTTCTTCACTATACTCGCAGATCATTTTCTGAATTACATTGGTAAGATCATCATTTTCTGTTTCTCTTATAATGTGAAGAAGAGCCTGCATGACAGGTCTGATGAATGGTGTGATATATTCTTTAGCTGTAAGAGAAAGAGAAAAAAACTTCTGGTGCTAACAGCTAAAACTCCTTAAAACCTGAATCAATATATACCAAAGAGCAAACAAGAAATAGCTTCAAACAAAAAGGAAGACAATGTGTCAAGGTTCTAGGACTATGTCTTGTATATACAAATCTTTTACCTTTCTCTTGATTGCTGATCAGCACTTGAAGTGCAATGGCAGCTTCCACTTTAACAGGCATTTCCCTATCATCAATCAGACATCTTCGGGTCAGTTCTAGGGCTGTTTGCAAGTTCTGGTCACTTTTGAACTTCACTTCACAAAAGTAGTGAAGGACCCAGCAAGCCTTTAAAAAAAAAAAAATGCAGCGAGTTACTATAGGTTTCTTACCATGTGACAATATTTCTAGTGCCAAAGTTCTTGTGTGGGAATTTGGAGGCTGGCCAGTGGTAGATAAAGTCAAAAGAGACAACACTAGACCAGTACTATGATCCCAACTTACTCTTTGGCTGCATGATGTTTGTGTGGATAGCAAGATCTGAATGCAAAACACAGACAGATGCTGCTATCGGACACAGATGAAAACTATGCACACATTATGAGCAGCCACTTAAAGAGACACAAAAGTCTAGGATAAAATAGGGTTTTAAAGTGAACATTTAAAAGCTTCCATATAAAAGTCCACATAAGCAGTTATTCATTACAAGACATAAATGTACAAAACAATACAGCTTTAAAACATACCCTGGCTCTCATGTAGCCTAGCTCACTGCTGAAGAGAGGGAACACATGGTTCTGCAACATGTATTCCATCTGATCTTTATAGATCTTTTTCTGTAAAAATAAACAAATATAACAAATAAACAAATATAATCATCTCAAATGTCAAACAGATACACAAATCCTTAAAATGACTAATGATGTCAAGACATATTTATTCTGGAATTTTGAACCCCAAGACCCATATCCAATTTTCTTATTCTCAAACATTAACATCAAAATCACTATACATTTTTTAATTTTTACATCGTTTGTTTACAAAGCAATCATGTCAAACATTAACACCAGTGGTGTTTAAGTAATAGAAAAATGGTTAATTTTATTCCTTATCTTACAAAACATTTTTCTCTTATAAAATTATTATATGAAAGAACCTCTCTGGAAAGGTCCTACATGAACAATACAACATAAATTGAGAAATATTCTGCTCTCAAGGTAATAATGGGAATTATTTTTTGAAATTTTCTCTACATATGAAATTTAAAAATTATAAAGTTAAAACAAAAACTTCAAAGTGCCATTAGAACCCACTCAAGATTCCCAGCCTTATACACAAGAAATAACCACTTAATTTACCCTTTATAAACTAAAAGAATGAGCGAACAGATGTAGAAAAACTCAAAGATACACAAAATATACCCACAAATTAATGAAGTCAATGGAGCATCATATGGACCAAGGTTCTGGGAGTTGGATGAACTGTATCTAATTATTTACATACATTTGGATATAGTTATCATTTATTAACTTTAAAATGAAAATAAATTTCAGATCTTGACTCCACAAATACCAAACAAAATGTGTTCAAGGTGAGGTTTCTCAACATAAATCTAATCCAATCACTCATTCTTTAGCAAAAAATGTGTCACAAAAACATGTTTCTAGGCTGTGAAGGGATATATTCAGGTTTACAAATTTCTGGCAAAACCAATTTTCTGAGAAGAAAAAAACACTACAATTTAATACAATATGAAATGAAAATAACTCATGCAAAAAGAATTACCTTCAGCACAAGCAATAACAAAGAAATATAGAAGACACTTTCAAAATCATAAGAAACTGTACCTTAAAGGACACCATCAAGAATGTGAAAAGATTAAAGATAATCCATAGAATGGCAGAAAATACTTGCAAATCATATACACCTGACCTTTGAATAATGAGGTGGGTGGCACACCAACCCTCTGTGCAGTTGAAAATCTGCCACCAAATTTGCAATTAGCCCTGCATATCTGTAATTCTGCATCTATGGATTTAACCAATTCCATTTGTGGATTCAACCAACTGTAGTATTTACTACTTAAAAAAAACCCACATGTTAAGCGGACCCGAAAACAGTTCAAACCTGTGTTGTTCAGAGGTCAACTGTATTTGAAAGCTTTCTAGCACAGCATTTAGAATATATAGGGAATTCCCTGGTGGTTCAGAGGTTAGGACTCTACACTTTCACGGCCCAGGGCCCAGGTTTGATTCCTAGTTGGGGAACTAAGATCCCACAAGCCACCCAGTGTGGCCAAAAAAATTAGATTAAAAAAAAAATACATATATATGTATGTGTACATACATATCAGAACTCTAACAAATCACAGTAAAAACAAATACCTCAATTTAAAATGGACAAAAGATTTGAACAGAAATTTCTCAGAGGAAGACTGGACAATAAACATAAAAAAAGATTCTCAGTATCATTAGCCGTGATGGAATTGTAAATTAAAACCACAATAAAATTACCATTTGATACCAACTGGGATGGCTATAATTTTAAAAGACAATAGCCAAAAGTTGATAAAGACACGGACACTGGAATCGTCACACACAGCTAATTAATATATAAAAAATGGTACAGCCACTTTGGAAAACATTCCAGCAGTCTCCCAACATATGATCAGCAATTCAAGTCACAGGTATGTATTACGTAAGAGAAATGAAAATGCACATTGACACAAAAATGTGTACAGAAATGTTCACAACTCCACTGTTCATAATAACCAAAAAGTAGAAACAAATGTCCATTTACTGATGAAAGAATAAATAAAACGTGGCATGTCAATACAATGGAATATTATTTGGCAATAGACTTACACATGCCATAACATGGATGAACTCTGAAACTATGCTAAGCCATAGAAGCCACTCAGTAAGCACCACATATTTTATCATTCCATTTATATGAAATGTCCAGAACAGAAAAATCCGTATCAGAGACATAAAGGAGATTACAGCTAGGGCTAGGAGATCTGGCAGAAAATGGGGAGTGACTTCTAAAAGTTTCTTTTAGGGATGATGAAAACTCTTTGGAATTAAGAGTTGATGGTGGCACAACTCTTTATCAGAAAAACTATCAAACTGTACACTTTAAATGGACAAACCGTATGGTATATGAAAATTGCTCAGTTGTGTCTGACTTTATGCAATCCCATGGTCTGTCCATGGAATTCTCCATGCAAGAATAATGGATTGGGTTGCCATTCCCTTCTCCAGGGTATCTTCCCCATCCAGGGATCGAACCCAGGTCTCCTGCACTGCAGGCAGATTCTTTCCCATCTGAGCTACACGGGGTTCCCTGGTATATGAACTGTACCTCAATTCAGTTTTATCTCAATTGCCACTATTAAAACAAACTAATTGCATGGACGCACACGCGCGCACACACACACACACACCTTCAGAAGTATTTCAGCTAAAGAACCAATCATATGCAGGGCTCCATCTTTTTTTCGAGGATCGGCATTTGGTTCTGTGAGAATCTGGTAGCAAAATCCCATAGTTTTTTGTAGTACCTAGATTAAGAGAGAAAAGTACTGCTTTACTGGATATCCAAAAATCCTTTTAAAACACTGATGACAAGATGATCTTAAGAAACCATTAAGAACTAAAAGTTTGGGATTAGAAGATGCAAACTATTATATACAGAATGGATAAACAACAAGGTCCTACTGTATAGCAGGGTGAAATATATTCAATATCCTGTGATAAACTGTAACGGAAAAGAATATGGAAAAGAAAGTACAAATAACCGAATCACTATGCTGAATAGCTGAAATTACCATTGTAAATGAACTATACTTCAATACAACAACAAAAAAAACACCCTAAGTGTATATCTGAACATATTTTAAATATTAAACCAGAAGTTATCCACACACTAAATAACCTACCTCTTTCCTCTTACTACAGGCTGTAAACAAGAGCGTCTGGGCAGCAGTGGTAGGAGAGATGAAATCCTCAAATACATCTGGAGAATAAATTTAAAATTAATACAGAATACAGAAAAATAGTAATTTCAAATTTTTCATGAAACATTTTCATATAATTTACAAATGATGCTCAGTGATAACAAAAAAGGACCTTAAATTTTTGCTAAATCTTCACAGAAGACGACCATGAAAACAAACCCAGATTTCCATAGAGTTTTGCAAAAGCCTAATGCCTTGTCTTTCCTGTACAAATTAAATCTTAATCCATTAACTTCTCCCAATGATTATTTTCTATCATACAAAACCCCACTACTGTGAGAATTTTCACAATGGGGTCACAAAAATACAAACTAATGAAAGTACGTAAGATTTTGGTAGGAAGAAAGACTAATACTCAACATTAGCCAAATTACAATTCTTTAGTTCCATGCAGAGACTCCGTATGACTCCAGCTTCCAGTATGCGTCTTCTCAATTTCCATACACATGATGACTGACATGGGATCCAAAAGCACAGTTTAGATACTTAGTGTTAAGGTGTACCCTTGAATTTCTAACAATTTTGGCATGTGCCAGAGGTATATCCAACAGTCAAAACCTACTAACACTACTGTATTTACATCTGCTAAAAATGAGGATTATCATTATCAAATAACCAAACTAATGAAAACTCCCAAATGACTTAAAAATGGATAAATTATATTAAAATAATGGCAGACTTCTCAGTTCCAAAGGTGAGGGCTTAATATTCAAGGTTATCATATAGAACCTTAACGACTGACATATTGTTTCTAAAAAAGTGAAATGTCCTCACCAAACTTCATGCGTATATATTCATAAGGGTCCTCTTGCCAAAGTTCCTCATCAGCATCTGTATAGCACATCAATGGAAAAATAACATCTTGGATAATGCCCTGCAATTTAAAAGTTAAAAAAGTAACCTTAATTCAGTTTTCAAATTTAAACTTTCAAATTTCTAATAAGTGCTAAAATAAAAATAACTCTACAGCATGTGTTTTAAAGCTTAATATCAAACTTCAGTAAAATATAAATAAATGCATTAAAATGCATTCTCAGATCAACCACCAATGTACATATTCTTACCCTCTGTGCAACAAGGGTAAGGCACGTGTCACAAAATAAGACATGTATACATAGATAGCAATTAAGTATTCTTAGAAAATACAGACTGAAATTTTAGTCCATCAAACCCTACAGTTAAAAACAAAGCAAATATACTGGAAACAGTACATAAGCCAATTAGCCTCAAAAGTAATTTGGTGAAATAGCCCTTTGTCTATTCCAAATTACATGTTAACTAGTCATGTTAAACTAATCATGATCTAACAGTAAGAACTTAGAAGGCAAATTTTAAGACAATAGATTCAGATTAAATAATCTGAATATTTACAAAATACCTTTTATAAAGTTTTTCAGGGTGTTACTTTATCTTTCTAATATAAAACTACCAGAACTAGACCAAGTGACACACATTAAAAAAAAAGATTTCTCAACCCTTTTGGTAATTAACGTTATTTCCAATGTATTTTCTAGAAAAATAGTTCAGATAGAAAAATGTTACTTGTATATGAGGCTTCAGATTCTTCCAGGTGAGAGCATGGGAAACTCCTTGATTAATATAATTTAACGTCTGTTGTAAAACTCGGGGAGCCATATATTGCTTCTCCTTGTACTGATATAAGACCTTCAATAAAACCTTTGAAAAAAAATTTGATCAAAAACAAAGCTTAAATAGAGTTTAACTATTTACAAGCTAGCAAAAATATCTGACACTACCCAGATCATCAACATAAAATAACCGCCAGATTCTATTAAAAAGAGAGTAATTTTTTAAATTATGTATTGGAGAACTATATTTATTTCCAAAGTAAAATAAACAAATTGAAGTAACATTGTACATCAAAGGATGAGTTTCTCATTAAATACAAGAAGAGAAAATCATATGCTATTTGTGAACACACCACTGAGACAGCACTATGTTAAAATCAGCTTTTAGGAAAATCTTACCCAAACCATTTAAGCAATTAATGACTGTTAAGAGTTCTAATTCATCTTTGATATTTGAGAACAGCAGTTGTTAAAATAAGATCCACAGACCTCACAGGGTCTGATGGGTCAAAACTATTTCCATAATAATGCTCAGACATTATTTGCCATTTTTTACTATGTTGACACTTGCATCAATGATACAAAACTCATGGTGGTAAAACTTCAGGTGCCCAACATGAGTCAGCAGAGTGGCACTAAACTGTACTAGCAGTCATCATATTCTTTACAGCCACATAATCACAGAACAAACTTTCTTTAGGAATGTCCTTTATGAACCAGTAATATAAATATCAATAAATGGGAAGCATACATGCAGCACTTCTGCTACATACCAAAGTACAACGCTTGGAAGAAAAGCGGAAACATCTTTTTTCTTTGGGCCTTGTTTATCTCACAAGGCCTCAAAAAAAATGAAGCAACACTTGCCTATCCCTCCCCAGGCAAACCTTTGGTAAAAGGCAAAAGATTCATTTCAAAGAGAAAGAAGAGTCAGAACTGAAAAAGTTTTTTCCAACAAATACCATAAGCTTGAAAGAAAAACTGATTGATAAATTATGGTCATTTAGACTTGTGTATATGGCAGATTTTTTTTTCACCCTCAAAAATGAACAAAATAAGCCTCTCACTGAAGTGAGAATATGTAACTGGTGTTAAAATCTGAGACTTCAAGCAAAACTAGAATTTTCAAAATCTTATACCCACCACTGAGTTCTACTTGACAGCTTTTAAATATTTAAAGATACTTCTGATAAGATCAGTGGTGATATGAATGAATGAAAAATTTTCAAGTTACATAATGAAATCAATTAACATTCAGAAAATTGCCAGTGACCCACTAAGTCAATATTTTCCAATGACCAAGGCAGGATTACAAAATCATATATGGATAAAAGACCCATTGAAAGTACAATACCAAACCAATGAATGCTAATATAACAGAATATGAGATGTTTACTGTTATAGTTTCAAACTCTACATTGCAATTAACCTTTAAGAAAATACCACTGTCAAATGTNGGCAGGATTACAAAATCATATATGGATAAAAGACCCATTGAAAGTACAATACCAAACCAATGAATGCTAATATAACAGAATATGAGATGTTTACTGTTATAGTTTCAAACTCTACATTGCAATTAACCTTTAAGAAAATACCACTGTCAAATGTTGGTATGATATAAAAAATTTCCACAATTATGTGAAAAGTATATTAAATCAGACTTTCCTTTTCCAACTTATCTTTGAGACCAAATTATCTTTATTTACTTCCATTAGAACAAGTTAAAACAATGAATAGAGAGGTAGATGTGGTATATGACTAACTTTTACTAGTCTTTAGTAAGGCAGACATTAAAGATATTAGTCAAAATGTGCAACAATGCCATTTCCTCCTGCTAAAAATTTTTCATTTTGGAAAACAGCTATTTTCAACAACAACAAAAAAACATGTAGTCTATTAATATGTGACAGGTTTGCTACTACTTTTAAATAAATTAATACTGTTAAATTTTGTCTCAGTTTTTAAAACAGTAAATATCACTACATGTAATATAATCTATAATCCAGACTGTAAGGCGGTCCTGAGACCAAAACATTTGCTAACTACAGTGTTCAAGATGTTAAAGACTGCTACATGCAATTTTTGGATGACAAAGAAACTAGAAATAAGCAAGATAAATTAACAGTGCCATGTTTTTACGTGGAAAAATTATCTTAAACTTACTTGTTGGACACCAACAGCAAATGCCTTCAGAAACACTTCAGCAAATTCATTATACTCTTTGGAAACATTGCCAGGACTTCCATACCTAAAAGAACATTAAAATGCCCATCATGTCTTTATAATGTTTTATATTAGCACTTATTTGTGAAGATTAAAAAAAAAAAACTTAAGTTATCACATAATGAGAAGAGTTTACCTTTCAAAAAGCCTTGCTAAGATATGTAAAGCCCACTTTTTACATTTCCACCATGGTAACTCAGGTCTATCATCTTCTTCAACTTGAAGTGTTTCCTTTAAAGAGACATTTATTTAATGACAGACAATATAATCTAAAAGGAATAGTGTGAGTTCAGAACAGATTCACAAAAACATGAATGCTCCTCCAACACTGGCCTTTCCTTATAAAAGGCTATACTTGGGAAAGTACTAACCTTTGTTTATAATAGGCGTTTTGCCTCACTACTTAAGTTACAAAGGACACGCTTTTTCAAAGTCTTATAAAAGTTTACAGCCATTAAAAAGAATACATTTGAATCAGTTCTAATGAGGTGGCTGAAACTGGAGCCTATTATACAGAGTGAAGAAAGTCAAAAGAAAAACACCAATACAGTATACTAACACATATATATGAAATTTAGAAAGATGGTAATGGTAACTCTACATGCAAGACAGCAAAAGAGACACAGATGTATAGAACAGTCTTTTGGACACTGTGGGAGAAGGCGAGGGTGGGATGATCTGAGAGAATAGCGTTGAAACATGTATATTATCATATATGAAACAGGTCGCCAGTCCAGGTTCGATGTATGAGACAGGGTGCTCAGGGCTGGTGCACTGGGATGACCCAGACAGATGGGATGGGGAGGGAGGTGGGAGGGGGGTTCAGGATGGGGAACACATGTACATCCATGGCTGATTCATATCAATGTATGGCAAAAAAAAAAAAAATTTCTAACTATGCCAGGTGATACATTTTATGAACTCAATTAAAAACTAAAGAAACAGAGAATTAGAATGGAAAAAACCAGCTATAAATAAGCACTTTAAATAATACACAAAATAACCTTTATAATTTTTCCCTTAATATACTCGCATATATAAACAAATGAAACATGTACTTAGGAAAATTTACATCACAAAATACATAAATTCATAAAGAATGTTTTAGGAAATATCAATTAAAATTCTCAAAAGGTAACTAAATATTTAAGTTCAGTGATATAGGAAATACACTTACATTAGGTACATCCCTGTTCACAACAGTCTTTAAAATTTCTATCCATTCTGTCAAATTCTGTTGGTTTATCAGCTCCAGTGGTAATGTATACTAAATTAAAATCAAGAATCAATATTTTAAAATCTTTACAAAAGAAAATCCAACTTCCTTTAACTCTTTATAAAACCAAAAAAACATACTTCATGCAATCCACATTTCCTCTTTTAGTAAATAGGCAAATTTCTCATCTGGTTGATTTGGTTAGTTTAATGTACAATGGTCAACTGTGGCAGATAGTCAGCATCCTTGTTTTATTCCCAAATTCCTGGGAATACATCTAATTTTCACCATAAGATACAATATCTTTTATTCAGTTAAGGAAATTTCTATTACAGGATACTTGTTATTTTTTTTAAAAGCAGAAATGATTATTTTATCAAATACTTTATCTACCATCCTTAAAGACTGTTTATAGGTCTCTCTTTTTGCATAATATAAAACTTAATCACAAAAACTGGTTTTTCACTCTTGATATTCTCATGTTTCTGGGATAAATCATATCACTTAATAGGAGCATAAAATCAATATCCTATTTAGCATTTCAGGACCTCTATTTTCACAAATGAGCCAGTACTATATTTTGATTTCAGGGTATGCTAGTCTCAAAAAATCATTTGGTCCCATGCCCTAGAATAACTTATAAAAAGAACCTTCATTTCTTTAAAAATTATACAAGGAGTCATTAGAAAGATATTACATTATCTTTAAAGAACTAGCAATAGCATGAAAACTCCAACCAAACAATGGCAGTGAGTCAGTTATAATAACTTTAGTGGAAATAAAGTCACAGGTCTATTTAAATAAGATTTATAAAAAATAAGTAATGGTATGAATTGAACCAAAGATCCTGGCAGGTGAGACAAATCTTTCTTTGGTCATATGGCACAAGAAGAGCAAAGATTTTAATCCTAGTCAAAAAATCTGTTTCATAAGTAATTACAGTCCCCTGAGACTATAGACTTAAATTCAGACTTAAATTGAAGAAAGTAGGGAAAACCACGAGACCATTCAGGTATGACTGAAATCAAATCCCTTATGACTATACAGTGAAAGTGAGAAATAGGTTTAAGGGACTAGATCTGTTAAGAGTGCCTGATAAACTATGGACTGAGGTTCGTGACATTGTACAGCAGACAGGGATCAAGACCATCCCCTTGGAAAAGAAATGCAAAAGGGCAAAATGGTTGTCTGAGGAGGCCTTACAAATAGCTGTGAAAAGAAGAGAAGTGAAAAGCAAAGGAGAAAAGGAATTGAATGCAGAGTTCCAAAGAATAGCCAGGAGAGGTAAGAAAGCCTTCCTCAGCGATCAGTGCAAAGAAATAGAGGAAAACAATAGAATGGGAAAGACTAGAGATCTCTTCAA